GTGTTTAAGTCAGATCAACTGACTAAGTTGGTTATAGTTAAGTCATATCAACTGAATAAGTTGAGTGACTAACTGGATTGTATATTGTATGTCAGCTCAATGAATAATTGGATGACATACTCTGGTTTTGGACGAACTTTAGATATATGGTTATGGTACCACGAGGTAAGCTTGAGTCTCAGGCTCGTTGGTTAAGGTGTGTATATGCAGTGGATGCGTAGCTGGCTATGATAGGTTGAGGTGTACCTTGTTAGGTCTAGGTACTCATGCCTACCTTTGGGTGCGTTTTAGCATGTTGCCTTCTATTCAGGTTGAGACCCCTATTGTAGTCCCGTGAATGTCCCTTAGTGCAGATATATATATATATATATATATATATATGTATGGACTAGATAGATATTGTGAGTTGTCTAGAGTGTATCTACGTATTGGGTCGTTGTATGGATTGCACTTAGATTAGAACTTATTCATGGGATTGACCCACTCTTTTATTCTTTTCAGGTACAGGACGATTCCAGCCTTAGAGCTTGATCGTGCTTGTAGGGAACAGTCTCTCATTCATCTGCTATTTCCTTCAAAATCAAATCTCAAAATTATGAATCATACCTGCTTAGGTTTGGAAATAAGGCGATTTCCTGGTTCGATTTGGAAATACACTCCCACTTAGCTTTGGAAATATACTGCTGCTTCTTTTTCGAAGAAAATCAGAATCTGCAATTTCATTGCGACTGACAGAAGCGTTGCTTCTATTTGGAAACAATTTGTAGCATCCAAAGTTTGGGTTGATTTACACAACAATTGCTGCTTCTGGATTCTATTTGGAAATAAATAAATTTCTAAAATGGCTTCATTCATATTTTGGGAGAGACGAAGGCTAGGGCGGGATTTTATTTTAGTTTCAAATGTCGCCTGAAATGAGGGAGGGAAGAGGAAAAAGAAAAAAGGGAGGGAACAAAAAGGGTATTTTTCAACAGTATATACATATATATATATACACACCAAAATTCTGTATTTCAAAAATATATTTTTTACCCAAACATGGTTAACACTGTTCATTGACCCAAAATGGATAAAATGGGACACTGTGGGACTGGAGGTGATCCTAGTCCGCTCGTGGTTTGAAGGCGACGTGGGTTCAATGAATGAATTGTGATGATTCAAGTAACCTTGCTTAGATACCAACTTGAAAATTAAACTTTTAGAAGAATATTTTTCATCTTTTCACAATTGAATAATCTTTACAGGTACAGATATAATAATGGATCATTAGTATCGGTCCTACAATCAAGCTATATCTCTAATGAATCTCTCCACGCCTAATGTACAATTATATTATCTCTAAAATAGGAAAAAAGCGCAATAATAATAATTACAAGAATAGTTGACCACTAACCCAATATCTCAACACACACACACGCACATACACATGAGAGATTGGGTTTAGGATATGAGCAAAATCATCATGTAGAATTTTGTAAACAAAACAAGAATAAGAAAACATGATATATAAATTCTTAGCCTTTGTGACTAGAATTTCTCTCTAACCCATTGACCATTCTTCCATTTTCTCTCTCTGTAACATCACCCATCAAAACCCAATCTCTCGTATATATATATATATATATATATATATATAGACACTTAGAGATGAGAGCATATATAGACACACAGAGAAGAGAGAGGGAAACAAATAGGAATCATAAGATACGCCATGATATATATACATATTGATGAGCGCTGAAAAGTACACATTTAAACCCCTTAAGCTTGAGTATTCTAGGACCTTTATCTATCTTATTTACCCGTTTTAGTACTTATTTGTGTTTTTGTCTATTTCAGGTCAATAATGTTAAAATGGGCTAAAAATGAGTTCTTAATGCCTTTTTGGAGTCAAACTAAGTCTTAACGATGATCCGGAGCAAAAAGAGGCTGATTTGGAGCAAAAAGAAGCTGATACTGAAAAGCTAAAAAGTTGGATCCATCGAAAATAAGTTGGATCGATCGAACTGGACATGCTGGCAGCAAGCTGTCACTTTTTCCGTGCGCGCCCAAAAGTTCACCTACCAAAAAGTTGCGGGATTAGATATTTTTGGGCATATATTCTAGACTTAGTGACTAAGAAAATGACCTTCTATATAAAGGGAAGCAACCCATTTGTAAAAGGGGATTTTTAGCTTTTATCATTTTTATTTTTCGACATTGTAATTTTTATTTTTCTCTAGAAAAATTAGAGATTAGGGTTAGAAGAAAAGAGAGAAGTGGAGGCACATCTCAAGAACATATCTCTAAATCCACTATCTCTTCATCTCTAGAGCTTCAAAGAAGAAGAAGAAGAAGAGGAAGAAGAAGATGGAGCCATGTTTGGAGCTTGATTCCATGACTACATCCACCTCCTCCATGATTGACTAGATCTACACTTAGAGCTTGGATGAGCCCTAAGTCTTGTGTAATCTAAACCCTTGTATTTCTATTTTTGGGGATTTTTATATATATTGTTGTGATTAGTGTTCTAACCTTGTGAATGTCATGAATCTTGGTATATTTCTATGATTTCAATGGTCTAATTCTTCCTATTAATTCTCTAGTTTATTTACATGTCTATGTGTGATTAAATTATGAATTATGTCTCACATGATTCATATGGGTTAATTCTTCCATTGATTCTCTATTTTAATTACATGTTGTCTTATGTATGATTATTTGGGGAATTGATCTTTACACTAGTTTTTCTATATTAATTGCATTTTTATGTGTGATTGATTGAAAAACTAGTGATGGCTAGACATTAGTGCTTAATGGAATGCTCTTGTTATGTCTCTTGATGGTTCATACTTATTCCTTGATGGATTGTACCTCTCCCTTAGTTTATTTTCATGCTAGTAGTGTAGTTGTAGTGTAGTGTTAGATGGGGGAGACAATTCATGCTTGTTCTTTGATATTCCATGCTTTTGAATGCAAGAAGCATATGCTCTAATATTGTGGTGTAATGGAATTTTGAGCTTAATGAAGGATTAATGACTAGTTATGATATGTTGTATCTTTCACATGTGTTTAGACAATATATTCCTCTCCCAATAGATATATTGTGGCCTCTCACATGATGTTTAGACAATACATGTTTAACTAAGTCATCCTTTTGAATTATTTGGACTATGAGCTTAATGAAATGTTTAATGACTTGATTTGATATTTTGTTCTCTTCACATGTTGTCTATACAATATATTCATCTTCCAATAGATATATTGTGCCCTTTCACATGTTGTTTAGACATTATACACTTGTTGAGTCACCTTTGCTAGTCGAACCAATTTTGTTCACAACAATGTATTCCCCATTAATGGAAAGCAAGTGGTTAATTACATGAGCTTAGTGGTGATTCCAACACCCTAAGTCCTCTTTTCTCATCTCTTAAATCCCTATCTCTACTTAGTTTTATTTTTATTGCATTTTAATTAATTCTTTTCTAGAAGTAATCAACCAACCTAACTCTCTTTTGCAATCATTTGGTACGCTAGAGTCGAAGTTGAAATTCCAACACGTATAATCCCTTGGGACGATCCCTACTCACTCTTGTTACGTTAGTAGTGGTGTTGGTAGTGGTTTTTATAAATTTAAATTTGACATAAAAGGCTTTTCTTGAACCACACATTCACTACATTTAGTTTGGCGTATTGGAACGGCCGTCGTCACATATATATACACACAGAGTAACTGTTGAATGTCGTCCACTGTATATATGTTGAATGTCATCGATCATTCACGTTGACCATGCTTTTGGAGCACATCGATGATATATTGAACATTGCCGACGCGAGATTGTGCCTCAACAAATGTTAGACTCTCAATATGGGTTTGCCAAAACAAGCAATTGGGTCTTAAACTGAAATTAAATTCGGGTGTGACGATGAAAACAGAAAGGGGATGCATCACTAGCGAAGTTAGGGTTCTAATGAGAAGTGTGAGGGCGTCGGCAAACAAGAGTAGTGATGTCTCGTGGTGTGTTTTGGTGTAAAAGTAAGTTAAAGAGGTGTTAAGGGTGTAATGGTCACAAGAAGGGCAACAGAGTCTTTCATGCTTTTTAAAGGGTATTATAGTCATTAATTTAGATATCGTGGGTCAAATGATCATTTTGACGGTGGGATTCAACCTGAGCATACCGAATGTGATCATCTGCAACAAAAATATATAATTGGGGGAGTTTTTTGCAACTTTTGTAATTCATAGAGTTTGTTATAGATTCGAAAATAGTCGAGGGAAGTTTTTTCGCATTTAATCCTAGTTAAAATGAAGTATGTTAGATCCAAAATCACAAATGAGTAATTTTTTATTTTTCATTTTAACCTCTGCCACTCTATCTTTGATAGTCCCCTGAGCCTAACTTACGTTCAAATATTTATTTTTTAGCTAAGCTTAAGTTAGAGAAATTGAATTAAAATTCAAGTCATAAAAATTCTAAAAATTTAAATGTAAATTTTTTAAAAAATTACAAACAAATTATATTTTAGGAGATTAGTTCTTCAAAGTATTGATATATAATAAATTAAAATTTAACTAAAATCAAGTTGAAAATGAAAGGTTGATCTTAATTTGAAAGATATATAATATATTTAAAATTTAAAAAGAATATAATAAAATTAAAATTCGAATTCCGGTTGTTAGGTTTGGTTGGTAACACCTCAGCTTAATCCAAAACCCTAATTAAGTTAGGGTAGGATTTTTCAACCCAAACTCAACCTTAATAATAAAAATAATTGTAAAAATTCGTAAAAATTGAACCGAGGGTGTGTTTGGTTGCATGTAATTGGAGTATTGTAATTGAAATTGATGAAATTTGAGAAAATTTTAATTCAATTTTTTTTAATTATTTTTTTCAAATTTCACAAAATCTAATTCTAAAACTTCATTTCTATGCAACCAAACATGAGCTCTTGTATTTTGGTTTTGCCCATTACCCATAAACAGAAAAGACCAATCGAGACTGTTGAAAAATCAGAAAAAGATCTTCACTCCAACGCCACCAAACAAGAAAGCCCAACCCTCGTTGACCCACGACCTTATAGCCCAGCCCACTCCCACCCCACCGTTCCCAATCCCATCGTTTAGAGCCTTATAGCGCGAAGAGAGTGGGGGCGTTCAAAGTCGTGTGAGAGCGCGAAGAGAGTGGGTGTGTTCGGACTCGCTTCGAAGTTGTGTGAGAGCGCGTAGAGAGAAAAGCGAGAGCGAGAGCGAGACAGAGTAGAGAAAAGATGGAGATGAAATGTCCTGTTACTGGAAATATCATTCGGAAGTCTGTGTTCTCGAAATCAGGATCGGAATCAAAATATTTGACAGAATTTGAAGACCTAGGATTCATAGGTATAATTCATTTCTTGTTGATTTTCAATTCAGTGTGATATAATGTTTTTTTTTTTTTTTATTTTTTTTTATTTTTTCTCAATTCAGCGTGAAATTTAATTCATTGTTTGTTTGATTGAAATTTAGCAAAATTCGGTTTCGGCATAGTTAAGAAATGCCGAAACCGCCTTGATGACTGCATCTACGCCGTGAAGATTGTTTCACTGAAGTCTGCAAATATTCCCTTTGAGAAAGTCCTGAGGTAAGATTGTGCTTGTTCGTGAATATTTTCTGTCATTTTATTTTGTTTCTATGTCTTAAGATTTTTTCACAATTGATTTGATTTTAAGTTGTTCTATTCTAATCTTTGATGGAATTGTTGGAGTTCTTTGTTCTGTTCATCCAATTTTATATGTTTGAGCTGATTTGGTTGAGAGTGCAATAACTGTCACATTCATAGTGAGTTCATTTCCCTGCTTTATATTATCAGATTTATGTTGTAGTTAAATTAACTTATATGTGTTTGCTATGTAAATTGTTCAGGGAGGTAAAGGCTCTGCATCGCTTGCGCCATCCAAATGTTGTGCGCTATCACCAGGTTTATCATCAGTCCTTGCTCGGATGCATTTTTAATTTGTCATGTTACAATTGATTCTAATAATTGGTTAATAAGGAAATCTGAAATCTCATTTTTTCTATTCCATTTTCCTTTCTTTTCCTTTTCCTTTTCTATTTTATTTTATTTTATTTTTTATTTTTTCAAATGAATCAAAGAGTATACAGCAAAACTGTTCTGCTAGTCTTTTGTGCAAACGATCGAAAATGTTAGGCCTGTAACCATTTTGGCCCTCCCTGCAACCTCAATTAACAGGACCACGCTGGGTAATGACACTTCTGACACGTGATTAGATTCCATGTTATATCCTAGACGCATAACTAGATTTTATAAGTCTTTTGAAACTTTGGTTTATTTACTTCCAATCTTATGTCTCTACAGCTTGCCTCATTGAAAGACAACACAAATTGAGATTGTATTGTGTTAGAATGCATCTTTAGAAGATCAATCATCTCCCCCCTCCCCCTAACTCTTATCATTCTATTCCTTTATTCTCTATTTCCTCTTCCCATTTACAACATAATTCAAAGGGGTCACCCTACACCTTTTTCCTATAACTTTTTCTTTTTTAATGATGTTTTTCAAATCTAGTTTTTCATCTCTAATTTTTAAAGCTTGATTTGAAGTTTATTTTAGGTTTCTCAAAGCATTTCTTTCTTACTTCTTCTCAGTTTATCTTCACTGTTTATTATTCAAAGTCTATTAAACTACTTTTAAATTTGGAACTGATTTTTTGACCTTTGTTTTTGGGAGAAAGTTGCAATTGTCAAAGCTAGAGATTTTAGTTGGCGGGCCCCACTGAATTTGTACGATCTTTAATGCTAACCCAACAATTATGAGGTTGTCTTCCTATTGCTTATTTAAAGTGATATAGGTTCAAGATGAATTTTTAAATTCATCTTTGTACAAAAAAGGGGCACTTCTTAATCATGTTCGGATATTTTGTTACGCAGCAACGTGTAAGCATGATATTTCTTAATCATTTTCGGATATTTTTAAAACTTTCCTACACTGGAGACCTAATCCTTCTTAAGTACAAAAAATGCAGTAGCGTATAAGCATCCATATAATAACTCTATTCGATTTATTTGAGACGAAATTTTGATACGGTGTGATACGTAATGTAACTTAACATCATCGGTGTGTCCTAAAGAGTTCTATGTGGGACTTATCGATTTTCTTCTTCTTTGACCTAAGCCCACCATTAAATCAATCACAGTCAGCACTATTGTCAATGTATAAATGTTATCCCACATCAGTTTGGCACTGGAGATAGTGACTCTCATTGAAAGTTTTTTTGATTTTTTTTTTTATATCTGTTTGTTTGAAATGGAGTTTGTTAGGTTAATAGGACCTAGGATGACAAATTTCGCTACTAAAGAGAATCACACAGCTCCAAGCTGCCTTGAGAAACAGCTCTGTTTAACATTTAAGTGAAAAAATCAGTTATGAGACAGAAAAGGAGAGGGGAGAGAGGGCATCCCTGTCTTAAGCCCCTCCCTGCAGGAAACCCTACAGGCACTCCATTAACCAACACTGACTAGTGGACTCAGGTGACACACTGCATGATTCAATCACTCCACCTATTCCCAAAGCCATACCACAGAAGCAGTTGATGAAGAAAAGTCCAAGAGACAGAATCATAAGCTTTGGCTAAGTCCACTTTAAAAGCCATGGAAGGCTTAGTGGACTTTGAGGAGAAGCCCTTCAAAAGGTCATGAGCAAGAATGATGTTGTTGTGAATCCTAAATGCAATCTGTTCATGGTCCACAACTCTGGATAACACAGCAGATAGCCTGTTTGCTAAGATTTTAGAGATGAATTTGTAAGTTCAGTTGCATAAAGCAATAGGTCTATAATCCCCAATGTGGAGGCAGTGAGATAAAATGCATGGTGATTTTAAAAATGTAAGTTGAGTTGCATAAGTTTTTTTTTTTTTTTTTTTTCCTTTTTTACTGCATGCAGAAAAAGAATACTCTGATCTGAACGAAAAAGAAGATTATTAAAAAATGAAGACGAAAACTAATTTGAGTGAGATAAAATGCATGGTGATTTTTTATTTTAAAAAACTACTGTTTTCTTAAGCATGGTACAAGTTTAAACTAAAAGTAAGAGTGATAAAGGATAAAAAAATGGCACGTGCACACATAGAAGAGGAAAGATGGTGATGTTTCATTTATCTATACTGGTTGATTTAGTTTTTTAAATTTAATTCTCGCAAATGTATAGTATGACCTGCATTTACATGATGCATGTAAGCACATGTATGTCATACATGTATTATACAAAGCAGCAAGCAATTAGATTATGTTACAGCCAACATACTCTTTTAGGGCAAGATTTTTTTTTGACATAGTTTATTGTATGCATTAATTTTATTTTGATTGTCATTGTTGATGTTCATTGTTTCAGGCATGGCTTGAGGAGAATTTTTCTGGTGTTTCTTACTGTTCAAGTGATGAAAGCTTAACTGAAGATTCACCTCTGTATATCGATTTCGATTCCCCATGCATGTTTATTCAAATGGAGTTCTGTCCTAGGTATATGTTTCATGTTTCTTTATTTGTTAGGAAAATTCTTTTGTATTTTTATACCTCACACATTCAAGTAATCATTCGCTTATCATATCTTTAAGAAATGTTACTTTACTCAGGAACTCCTTTATGTATTTCAGGCTTCAGCCATTGCACAATTGAATTGAGTGCAAACTTTTAGACTGCAAGTCTGCAATTGATCATTCACATATAATATTTTTTAGAAATACTAAAATGGATTAAAGATAATTCTGAAAATCCTAGCAAGTGATACACTCATTAGAACTACAAATTCTTAATAATCAATTCAAGAATTAGCACATAACCTAAATTTGTTTTAGCATAATAAATTGTAAGAAGGAGCTCCTATCAAGCATCTTTGGATTGAACAAAAACTTCCGTAAACTCTTTTCGATCAGGGAGGATAATATGCAAGATCAAGACTTGTGAAGGTGAAACCAGAAAACTATAAAGTAAGAGTTGAAGGGTTGAGATAACGATCGGAAAGAAAGAAAGGGAAGAATAAATAGAACTTACCAAGACGTAGAGCATAGAGTGGACTTCCAAGTTACTTGAGCATAAAATATGTTAAAAACAGGTGTAAAGCATCAAGCTAATGTCCTCCAATGCAAGCTTCTGAGGAAGGATGATGGTAAGTGAGGAAAACAAAGAAGAGTAGGAGGAAAAGAAGGATGAGATTGGTTGAAACCTCTATTCTTTAGAAACTTTGTCAAAGCCTTTCGCAATCTGGGGTTTAGGCATGAATTTTTCTTGTATTATCAGATTGATTGCAGTTAACCTAGTGTTAGAAGGGCTGTACTCAAGTAGTTATGTGCCAAGCAGTGATCACTTGAGTGATGACGTGTGGACTCGTTGCACATTATAGAGTAAAGATAACCATTAGACAAATGTGCCAAACAAGTCACACTATGTAATATAGGGAACATAATGGAAACTAAAAAGATAAATGAGAAGTCCTTGTAAGAATATCTGGCATGTAAACTATCTAACGAGATTAAAACTATTCTCAAATTAGGAGCCAAAAAAAAAAAAATCTGATTGCAATAACTAATAGTGTTTTGGAAAGTGTCACTCTAACTTTAGTCAGTAGTAATTATGGTATGGGAACTTGAAGATTTCATGGGAATAGTATAAGCTGTCATTAATTCAAAAGGGAAGAACTGTCTATTTTTGAATTTAAAGCACTTCTTGCTGAGTTTCGGGTAAAATTATATTTTTTCTGTGATTATTTTTGGGAGATAAGGTTTTGGTTTGTTATAGTTTTCTTCCCTTCCATGGAGTGTGTTTCTTGGAGCTTTAATGTATTGCTTTATGTATGAAACTGGAGACATTAAATTTTCTGAAATTTTTTTATTAAATAAAAATTCCCTTTTTGTATTCTTCTTTTGTACAAAGCAGGTCCTTAGAGAAGTTTCTGAAAACTTCAGGCAATTTGGATGGACAGAAAATATGGAAGCTTTTTTGCCAAATCATGGAAGGCCTGGCTAAAGTCCATGCGGCTGGTGTTGCACACCCTGATCTATCTTTAGCTAATATTTTATTAGATGCAGAGGATAATATACGCATATCTGATTTTGGCTTGGGTAGATGTCAACTCAACTCAACAAAGCCTTTTCCCATTTTTTTTTTCTTTCTATTTATGCATCTTTTTTATTTCTTTTTCAGTAAATAAGTGCGGTCAATTTGTACAATGCAGCTGAACTATATAACCGCCAAACGAAAGTTGACACCAAGGATGATATGTTCGGCCTTGGTCTCATTTTTTCTATACTTCGTAAACATTTGCCCACAGAGCATGAGGCGTCTGAGCTTTTACGAAATCTGAAGGAGAAAAAAGATTTTCCAGAAAGCTGGATCTATGACGAACATGAGCAGTTAAAGAAAAAAGTATTATCTCAGTTTGCTGCTGGGAACTCATTAATGCAGCAGCAACCGCAACAGTTTTCTTCTAGTTCAGTAAGTGCGTTGCTTGTTTTGTGGTTGATTGAATTTTTAAATTGATTGCTTCAGGTTTTTCTAAAGTCATCATTAAATTTTGCAGCAAGGAGCCGAGCAAGATTCTCTTGACCTTGTAAGATCTAACCATTTCCCATCTTAAAAAAATTATATTTTGCTGCCTATATAATTTATTGGCTATTTAACAGGATAAACAAGAAGTACAAACTCTTGGTGACAGTGAGGGTAAAGAGCCTGATGTGAAGAAAATGAGGTAATGTACATTTACTGTTCTAAAATTCAATAGGTTGATTCATGCATGGTTTTAATTGATGGCACATACTGTGTTGATTAAGTGAGAAGTAGCGCAAAGTTGTTCTTTTACTGGTTTTCCATAGTTAGTTCAAATAAGGTATTAATGCCTTCCATTAGCATCTGGCTCTATTGATTGACTGGGTTAAGGATGATGCTAGTTTATTGTTCAGATCTGGTTGGTGATTTCATACCCATTTAGTACATAGCCTGGGCGATAACAGTTTAGATTTAGGGTCTCTGTTATTATAGGTACTCACTTGGGCCATAACAGGCTAGTGGTTTTTAAGAATTAAGAATAACAAATAGTTAGAAGAGAAAAATTGTAGAATAGTTATTAGGCCAACTATATTATATAAAGCAGAGTGCTGGGATTAAAAAAAGAAATAAGAACGACAAGTTCATATAATTGAAATTAGGATGTTAATGTTGACTTTAAGAGATAATCAAATCAAGAGTACCATATAAGAAGAAGAAGAAAAAGAGAAGAAAGAGGATGAGAGAAAAAGAGAGAGATGGGGAAAGAGAGAAAGAATGAAAGAATACTTTCATCCTTCCGCCACATTCTATTTATACTAACAAGTTTCAGAAGTTACACATAAGCTCCAACTATATTATATAAGTCATAACAAATAAGCCCCTGACAATCAAATTGATCATTCAGTGGTGGTGCTGACTGCTGACTTCTGACTGCTGACTGCTGCTTTGCTAATCTTTCTCATGTACCCATCCATTTCCTTCCCTAAAATGCATCCCTTGTAATTTTGGTGCTGAAATTGATCAAAACCTGCACTGTGAATGACCAATTGAATAATCAGTTATTCTGGACAAATGGACATGGATAGTTCTTATGAAGTGTCAAACTAGTGTATAAGTTAGCAAAGATGTAAACCTGTAAGGGAACTTCGAAGTGCCTAATGCTGCAGAAGTAACAGTCTGACAAATCGGGGGGACAGATGAGGGAGAGGAGGAACCAGAAGTGCTGACATGGTTAACCTTATAAACATAGATAGCACAACAATTACAATGCTTCCATGAGTTTCAGTTACAGTACCCTATACTTAAATCAGCTATGGTTGAGCATGACAATTAAGAAAATAACGCAAGACTAGGGGCAATTTTAGGGCAATCTTGTTATTAATGACATCACTAGGGGTGATTTCACCCTGCTAGGGGCGATTTGGGGCGACAACGGAATTTTCAGGTCAGTGATGAAATCTTTTTTAGAATTCGCAAGATTACCAAGGATCTCGCTCGGAGGGGTTGTGAAGACGGTGATTCCTCACTGAGGGCCGTCGTTGTATATTGACAGAGAATCTGTCGAAGGAAGAAAGACGGTACTATCATCGTGTCTGGTGGGACGATCCGATAAGGAGGTTGGGGGGTGTGATCGAGTGGAAGATTGGGCAGCGCGGGCATGGAATACGTCATGTGGGGTGGGGGTAACGCCTTTATCTGATTCGCTACTTCTCTTCAGGTTTCCTTCTCAAGCAGAGGCTCAACGGGTGTTGAAGGAAGGACGACAACAATGGGGATCTGCAACTTTGAGAATCGACGTGTGGTCTTTCACGGTCGGGTGTTGCTGTGTTCTCAGAGACAAAGGTCTCAAGCAGATTCGGTTGTTCGGACTTCCTCTGCATCTATGGTGTCAAGCCTTGTTTGTTGAAGTAGGGGAATTATGTGGTGGATATGTGAAAGTTGATGTAGATGAGACAAAGGATGCCGAAAGCGTTTGGATCACAGTGAGAAATGGTTCAGCTTGTCCGAAATTCGTGTTCATTCACGACGACAGCTTCTGCTACAAGGTCGTGATTTGGGAAGAAATCTTGCCGGAGCTTGTTCCCTCAACAGAGAGTTTAGAAGGTAGCAATGGGTCACATCTTATGACGGAGGAAGATTGGACGATGATCCTTAGTAAAGGTGAGAAAGGAGTGCTTGAGCTCCAAAAATGGCAGAAAGAAAGAGAAATTCAAAGGGCGGTGAAGTATGTGGGGGGAAGAAGAAGTGGTCGACATGTGCCGGTCAGGCTCGTTGAAACTGAACAGAGAAAGGATACATGTGGAGGTCATAGGGGTGATTCTCCAGATTATTCCTTATCCTTATCTGCTTTTGGGGTAGGTGATAAGAATAGGAGGGGTTGTAATTCGGATTGGGCTGAGGTAGGTGGTGGGTTGGGCCGAAAGGTGTCTAGGCAGGCCAAGGGTGAGGCCTTAAACCAATATTGGCCTAATTTGAATAATGGCCTCATTAAGCCCAAGTCTAACAGAACATTGGCTAGGTCTGGGCCTGGGCCTCGGACCCCCACACTAAAAGATGGTTACAGAGAGGGCCCAATTCTTTGTCTATCTCTTTTTTAAACATTAAGCCCGGTCCAAATTCATTGGAACTAGGTCTTGAAGGACAAACCCAAGTCCAGGCCCAAGCTCAAGTCTTTTCTTCTTCACAGCGAGACTCGCCTAGGAATTTGTCATCTGTTAACAGACATTGGACTTCGTCTGAGCAAGCGAAGTGGACGACGATGCGTCCAAGCACAGCCGGTCACCATGGCTCTCGATGGACCCGTAATGAAAAACAAAAGTGGGTCGCACGCTCTCATGCCTTCAATCCAGGTTTGACCTCTGTTCCTCAGAGTTCTATTTCCACTCCTTCTTCTTCTTCTCCTTCGCGCGGGGTGTTGAGGAGGGGTGGTGGCGTGGAGAATGGTTCTGCTCAATAGAGGGATTTTTCAGGCTCTATTGTATCACAGATCAATGGGACTGATGTTTCAAAAGACACGTCTGACAGTGTATATTGCTCTAATGGAGTGACAGTTTGTGTGGGAAGAGATCTTCACTTCAAGTTGACAGACAATTCAGTTGTGGCTTTGCTCAAAGAACTCAGGCTTTTTGTTGCTTTGAAAGGTTTAAACTGTTTACCATTCAAGTCTGAGGCGAAAGACGTTCACAGTTCGATGACGACTGATTCGGATGATTCTAGAACAGAGTTGGATTTGTAGTTGAATACGTACGGGAACGGCAAAGAGAGTGAGGGGGAGGAGAATGGAGTTGGGGTTTCTTCTCAGCAAGTCTGTTCTGCTGATTATTATCCTTGGATGGAAACGGATCAACCTGATGCGGACATAGTAGAACCTCTGGCAGTTGTGAGACCTGATTGTTTGGAGACGACTAATAATCGATGGGTGATAGAGAATATTGGCATGGTCAGTGAAGCCTTGGGTGTCTCTTCAAAGGGTAATGATGATCATATTTTGTCCATCCTTCATGCAATAGTGGCAGGGAATAACAATACAGAGACCTTTCAGGGTACAAAAGAAGTTAAAAATAGAAAACATTTAACGTATCGGAAAGAGGAAAAGGAGGTTAAGAACTTCATTTCCTATGTTAACTATGAGGGGAAGGATAGGGTGACTAAAGAAAGGGGAAGGACAAGAAATGGGAAACGGGGAGGGGAGATGATCGTTTTTGGTTCTTAATGAAGTTACGAATTATTACGTGGAACGTTCGTGGTCTAAATGATCCGGACAAAAGAAGGGTGGTCAAGGTAGCTATGAGGAAGTGGAGTGCCCATGTTATATGCTTGCAAGAAACAAAGATGGCTTCTATTATCGACGAGGTGGTCAGGAGCCTTTGGAGGAAGGTTCATGGAATGGGAAGCGTTAAACGCCTCCGGCACCTTGGGCGGGATTCTAATTATGTGGGATCGAAGGTGGTTATCAAGGATAAACATTTGGAAAGGAAATTACTCCTTATCATGCGTGTTTCAGATGGAGGAAGATAATTTCAGTTGGGTCTTTTTTGGAGTTTATGGACCAGTTATAGATAGTGACAGACCAGCCTTTTGGGATTAGCTTTGCTACGTGAAGGGTATTTAGTCGTTGCCTTGGTGCTTAGGCGGGGATTTTAATTCTGTCAGGTCTTCATTTGAGAGGTCCACAGGGGGTAGGTGGTCCTTGGAGATGACCCAGTTTTCAGAATTTATTGATAGTCACTTCCTAATTGATCTGCCATTGGAAGGGGCAACCTTTACTTGGTCTAATGGCAGGGATCCGGTTACTTATTCAAGACTGGATAGATTCCTAATTTCTGGGGAGTGGGAAGAGAAATTCCCGGATGTTACTCAGGCAGCTCTGGTTAGGGTGACATCTGATTATGTGCCCTTAGTTTTTGATTGAGGAGGGTTGAGATCTAGACGCACACCATTCCACTTTGAAAATATGTGGTTGAGATATGAGGATTTCCAAGGGAAAGTCCAGTCTTGGTGGGGGGAGGAGACTTTCACAGGTTGTGCTAGCTAAGAAGTTTCAGTTTCTCAAAACTGAGCTTAAGAGGTGGAATAAAGAGGTGTTTGGGAATCTTGAATGGAAGAAGAATAGAGTTCTAGCTGATATTGCTGAGCTTGATCGTCTTGTTGAGTTGGGGCAGGATGTAGAGTCTTTGCGCTCTAGGAGAGTTTGTCAGGCTATTTTTGCTGAGATTGCTGCTATGAAGGAGATTTCGTGGCTTCAGAAATCTAGAGCATTGTGGCTGAAAAAAGGAGACCGCAATACAAAATTCTTTCATAGGCTTGCTAAAGCTCACAGAAGATGTAATCACATCAGGCGTATCCGTGTGAATGGCTCCGAGCTGTGGAGAGAGGATGAGTTGCGTGGGGGAATAGCTTCTTTTTATCAGCAGCTTTACACTGAGACTTTGGGATGGAGACCCAAGCTTAATGGTCTTCAATTCAATTCTATTTCTGCACTGGATAGTGACAGGCTTGAGGTTCCATTCACTGAAGAGGAAGTGCTTAAGGCGTTATCAAGTTGTAATGGTGATAAAGCTTCGGGACCTGATGGTTTTATTATGCGGTTTTTTAAGGAGAGTTGGGAGGTAGTGCGCAATAAGGTGATGGGCACCTTTTAGGAATTTCATTTTCATGGCACTTTTGAGAAATCATTGAACGCATCTTCTATTGTCTTTATTC